CTCCAGAAGTTACAAGACAAACTGGATAAACACAAGAGCACCTGCATGTCATTGAAAATATGTACCTATTATTTATGGGTCTTGACTGAAATTTTTAGCGTACACTTAAAATATTTATTTTTTTTAAACTGCATTAAAAAAGGAATATAATTTTTTCCCCCTTGATAGTTTAGTTTAACGTGTTTTTTTAATTTTTAAACATTGTATGAGTACAGTTTTGTTGGAATATTTAAATTAAATTTAATAAAATATTAAATTTGTTGCTTGGTGCAAGAAGGTTTAATGTCTAAAAAAAAAAAATTGTATTCGAAAGTAAAAAAATTAAATTTAGTAATAAAATTTCCAAAAGTCTAACGTTAAATCCATAATTATTATTATTATACATTTTTTTAAAACGATGATGACATTGGCCCTTATTTAAAATCTAACCTAGCTGCTTTCTAAATAATCGCGATACCCGTTCCTAAAATAATTGTAAGTACTATGTGTTATTGAAATTTGAAGTACAATTATTATTAGAGTCATTGGCCGAGGATTGGCTTTATACTATAAGTATTCGTATACTATATTCATCTGTATATACAGAGGGATGATTATTATTTTAATTTTTTTTTAAATCTATAAACAAATTCTTAACCAGAAATCTTGCTCCAATCAAAAACTTTATAGGATGGATCCCTTTTGTAATATTTTCGATCTAGTAACTAGTCGGTGTATTGAGTTGGTAATATTTGATTTCCCATGTAGTTCTCTCAATAAATGGGAAAAGATTGAACGTTTTTTTGTATAGTTTTCGTTGATTTCTAGATTACCTCGGCAACCAGAGAAAAAATACGACTATTAATACTCTGTTCACTGGTGGCATTCCCATCAACTTATACATATATTTTTTTTATTTAAACTGATTCAAAAAGAAAATACGGTCGGATCCAAAATACCCGTTTTGTGTGAAATTTTGAAATCATCATAAATCATTTGAAACGGTTCTGTATCGTATCGGGTTTAATGATAACAACGCCCGAAGAAAACCGAATATAGAATTTACTCAAAATGTCTTCGTCAATGATCGTTTCAAAAATCGTCCTGTACAATAAACGCGGCCCGAATCGATATGGTGATTGGTCTCGATCATTATATTTTATAGACTGCAGGTGAAATATTTCATCCATTTCGGTAGGTATATACGCGGAGTACCGTATTAAGCTGCAGTCGTCCATATTGTTGCGTACCTATGCGACAGGTGAATAAATACTGGCAATTAGCTCCGACCGCACAATTTCCAACTATATTTGTATACCTACCTATATATAGGATATAATATATCCTACAATGCGCAATTAGCATCTGTTTACATATTTCGTGTAGGCGTTATATGATTGTGCTATTCGTCGACACGCGTGTTATATTACTGCTGGACAAAAATCCCGTTCCCGTTCTTTCCCGATTCTTTCGGTGTGTATGGTAAAAATATTTATAGGTATATTTACATTTTCACGCGCACACAGTTTTTTTTTTTACTACATATTCTTTTTTTTTTTTTTTTTTTTTTTTTTTTTCCCCCTTTTAAAATT